ACCATGTATTTACCTCCACCTTTTCATCTAGACACTCACCACACTAGACCTCTCGGCTAATGGAATCAAAGATGTTGGAGTACAACATTTGGGTGATGCATTAAAACACAACACAGTAACTCTTATTGTCTCTTTATATGTACCATGTATTTATCTCTAGTTTCCATCTAGACACTAACCACACTAGAACTCTGGAAGTCTTATTCTGTCGTAAATGATGTGCATAATGAATTCCAGGAAATTCAGGAATTACTTAAACGCAATAGAAGAGGAAGGTTGATGTGAATGGTGATATTAAATGTATTTGGATAATTATTAAGTCGATAGTGTTGATTATGCGAGTACTTTAGTGTGTTGTAATTTTGATAACGACAGTAAATAAAACTGCTTGTTTTCAAACTTAATATGTATTGTAATAATAATGTTTATTTATCATTTTTGGTATTTCATGATGGTGATGATGCTGCCCTGACGAAGAGAGCTTTTTCAGAACTATTTTGTGAGTTGGGAGCGTGTGCAAAGCTAAGCTAAGGTCCTGTGTAACAATACTGAAATGCTAAAATGTTTTTTTCAGTAGAGTTAAGCCGGGAAAGATGTTGTTTGATAGTGGGAAAACTCTTGTGAGAATGACCCAAAAAAACATATTCATTAATATATCTTATATAAATACCTCCTCATCCATTTATTCTAACTCTAGATATAAATAATCAAGATAATAAATATCAAATAATATAACGAAAACATAACTTCAGTACAAAACTCATTTACTAATTGAATAATATCCTCGGAACATTCTGTATATTAGTTCGCAGATATTTGAAAAAATCTCAATAATGTTTCTTTCAAAGAAACAAAATACTTTCTGTTCATTCATGCTTCTCAAAATCAAACAATTGTCTAGGCATTAAGAGATAAACATCTGTTGCAAATCTTCTTTTCTTAAGCAAGATAAAAAAAGATTGAAATCTTTCAAATTACATACTCAAGCAAATAATCTCATATCCGCAAAAACAGAAAAAACTTATTCGTGTTAATTATTTTATCACAATATTCACGTTATAATAGAGAACTACAATATCAACTAAATTCTAAACTGAACTGCGACATATACAAGTCTGTTTTTTTTAATTTTTTGAACTACATTTGAAAATCTTTTCAGTGTTCATGTCCATACTAGAGAAGATTGTAGAAAATTTATTGAAAGGTTCTAGGAATGATCTGATATATCTATTGTGCCATTATTGAATTAAATCGAGTTAAGAGAGAAAAAACCTTTTAAAATCTTAGTAAAATAATTGTTAAAAATCTTCGTGAAATTATGATGAAATCTTTGAATATCTTGAGAAATGCTGAATAATAGCGGTGAGAAATTTTCATTTAATCCTTCTGCAATCGACACAAATTCAATAAATTTTCGACGAAAATCGACGATATTACATCGGAACCGTTAGTTTCCCGTCGGATTGAATGACGTAGGTAGATACAAAACTTTTCGTATGAAAAAAGAAGTATCGTCATACTAGTAATTAAAGACTTTTATTGTCAATCGTGACAGTAATTTCTGCTAAGATGCTTCATAAATAATAAATGACAAGAATGGATTAACATTTTTTTTTATATTAACTTTTGAATTTTCCAGGAAAAGAAGAAAAACACTAAGAATAAATTATATATCATTTTGAATAAAGTAGCATGTTATCATCATCATCAGTATCTGATGGAATTCTCAAATTTGCTACACAATATTCGTTTTATAGTAATTTTATTATATTTGGTTTTGGAGTTATTGGTAATGCGTTGAATCTTCTTGTTTTTATTCAATTGAAACTATTTCGAACCAATCGATGCGCCTTCTATATAACTATTGAGTCAATTTCCAATTTAATTTATTTTGTTTTTACTATTAGTATAACTATTTTAACATCAATATATGGAGATACTGCCATAGGAGGTTCAAATGCTGGCTGTAAAATAAAATATATAGTGGGGCAAATATGTGCACTCACTACTCTTTATATGATATGTTTCACCACTGTTGATCAATTCTTTTCGACAAATCATCGTTTCAATTTAAGACAAATGTGTACATTGAAATTAGGTCAATATTTTGCGTATATGTTCATTTGTTTTGTGATTATTCATAGCATTGTACTTGGCTCGTCTTACGATATTAAACCAACGATGGGATGTATCATATCGAATCGTATATGGATTCGGTATTCAACATTTTCCTTTTATCCAGTTTTAGTTGGTCTCCTACCTATTATAATTGCATCATCATTCAGTATCTTAGCGTATCATAATGTTCGTCATATAGTCCGACAACAATTACCAATTGTTCGTCGTAAATTAGACAAACAAATAACAACGATGGTTCTGATGCGTGTGATAGCCTTTATTTGTTTGGTATTACCTTATATTACTTATAGTATCTATGCCATTAATTTTCCAACATCACGAAGTATGCCTATGGCATATGCAATTGGCCGATTGATTCAAGCAATTTTTACTTCTATCTTCATTATAAATTATATAGTATAATCATTTTCTTTTCTAATTCATATTTGTAAGATTTTGGTTTATTTTAGATCAACTTTTATATCTTCATAATATTCTCATCACGCTTTCGTCGTCAAGTAAAACTTGTTCTAGTAAAAAAATGTTGGAAACGATGGACATATTGGTGTTGCCACATAAACAATCGAATTGAACCTGACAACAATATTAAAACACCCAACTCACAAATAAAATGTGATGAAAATATCTAGTTGCTCATTAAATAAATAAATAAATTCTCATATGTCTATTTTTTCTTGAGG